ATTATAATTTTTTTATTTTATACAATTAATACTGTTATTGAAAACCACCCACTTTCACAATTTCCATCACATTTTCTTTTTTGTAATTTTTATTTAGATTTGTTACTTTTTATTTTCTGCTTATGCCTGCAGATAATAATTAAGTAAACTGTTTAGCATTTGTGGCATGTGAATTTTTTTAGAAATAAATATAAATTATTTTGCTACAAACTGCAGCAATCGACTTTTGCACGCGAGTGTATGACGCAGTATTCAGAAAAAAATCACAATAACACTACTTTATCTTAAGAAGCATGAGTATTCTTTGCTGGCATAATATATTGTTCACATTCGTTTATGTACTGCTGTGAACTCACTTACATTGGCAACACTGTTAGGAATACACACACAAACATTCATAGAAATAGAAAACGAAATAGAGAGAATTAAAAATAAAAAAAAATTAAAAATTATTTAAAAATTTAACTTCACAGTAATCTAATACATTTAAGCTTAAGCTTAGTTTAATTGCGCACAAGTGCGCTTAACTGTATGTGTATGTATTTGTACTCATGCGGTTTGCTTCATTTAAGAATACTTAAAAGTCCACTTCATTAAATTGGTCTATGTTAGACTTTTCATTGCGCGCACAAAATTAATACATATTTATTTATGTGTTTTTTGTGATTAAACTTTAATACATATTATATATCCATGATTATTATATATATACTCTCAAAGGTGTATGAGTGAATAGTGTAAATTTTTCTTTTATGCATATGTATTATATCTCTATACATGCCTACAAAATTTTTTCTTAATCTGCAGTCTAGTGATTTGAGTACTAGACAGTTTTAGATTAAAAAATTTAAGTATTTGCTGAATATTGCAAGCATACGCTCACATCGTCTCATAATCAACAATATAAACTGGGTGAGAATTTCAATAACTTTGAGTCAAAAAAAATACAGGGAAAAAGATAAAAAGAAAGTGGAAGCAAGAAAGTGGTTTTGAACCACTTCCAAAAGCCTATAATTGGAGCAGTGAGCAAGATTTTTTTTTCTCTGGTATTTTTCAGCGTTCTCTTCGCCGAACGAAATTACTTTAATTGTTTTAAATATATCTAAAGTATATTCTCTTGTTATATATGTATATATACTATATTATATTTTTCTCACCTTTTTTATTGATCACTAATTTCTTCTTTTCAACACACTCTCCCAGAATTTGAGTTCTGTGGCTTAAGTGTCCCTTTTATACTCTCCACTAGCGCTAAAAACGCGCTCGTTTCTGTTAAACCAACTTTTTATCGAAGACAACTGAATTTTTTAAAACCTTAACCACTCTAAAGCAAATACATATTTCTATGCAAAAAGTAACGGACGTGAACTTGGCTTCAAGTAACGGAAAAAGTAAGCTCGAAAATAATCTCATGTGTGCGTGTAATGCATTACTTTTAAAATAATTACAATTTCTCATTACTCACCAGAAAAATTTAATTAACCTTAAGCTTAACTTATTTATTAATAATTTTGATTTACTTAATGATTAATAGCTATTTTATTTCATATTGTCGTTTCTTATGTAAATTATGAGTTACTTTTGTATAGGCATTACTAAGTACATAATATGCTAACACAGGGTGAGAAATAATTTTAACTTTTATATATTTTCTATAAAGCAAAAATTAAAAAATATATCAATTTAGAATTTTGATACAAAATACATATGTATGCATATCGATATCGATATCAAATTCATCGAATTTTTGT